AGAGAGCTAACGGCGCCAAACGGGCCGGCCGGACAGGTGAGAGAGCTAACGGCGCCAAACGGGCCGGCCGGACAGGTGAGAGAGCTAACGGCGCCAAACGGGCCGGTCGGACAGGTGAGAGAGCTAACGGCGCCACTATAGCCAGCCACACTATTGCAGGGGTTTACGGAAACAGCAGCGTTTTGCCCTTAAACAGTTTCTAAGGAAACTACGGATATGGAGACGCCTCTAACCCAAAGTCCAGACCCTGCCCAAGCACATCCCTTCCATCTGTCCCCAGTTTCAGGACTCATTTCCTCCTGTAACCCCCAAGCAGGTCGCTGGCCTCCTGTCCTGTGACACCCAGCAGCACATGGAAGATTGCAGCGAGTAACACAGCAGGCCACCAATGGCAAGGAAGGAAGTGACTGTAAACAAGACTGTGCAGTGACCTCAGGCCGCGATAGCATGGAGGCCAGAAGAAAGCAGGAGCGCCTCTCAGGAGGCAGACACACTGAGGTCCTGGATTCATCTAATGCAGGGGTGGCCAATCTTATCCAGAAAGGGCAGTCATGTATGTGGGTTTTTGCTGCAAATCCCTAATTAGATTACTAATTAGTGGACTGATTGGCTGAGGAGTCCTCACATCTGGGTTTGAACAGCTGACCTGCATACACACCAGCCCTTGGCAGATCAGCCACCCCTGACCTACTGAGGACATCGCAACACAAAATCATTGTCATACAAAGTAAAGAATAAAAACGAAAGCAGCACTTGGCCCCATCCTTTCAGGGAAAATACATTTGCACATAAAGTATGCAGATTTAGAAGAAGACCAGCATGTGAAGAGCATTTGAGGAACGCCGCTCTGCAGTGACACCAGAATCCTCCTCCCAAGGGAAGGGAAGTCTAGAGAAGGCCAGAGAGAGGAGGCAAAAAGACAACCAATCCAGAGAAGCACTGGGAAACTGGGGGGGGGGGGGTGTCAAGATGTTAGAGTCCATCTTAATGGTGGGCAGGGAGAGAAGCCCAGGGGAAGCCAAGGAGCAGACAGGGGCTATGCAGCAGCCATGAGCGAGTATGGGGGAGCACAGGGCGGTGCAGCAGGAGAGGGACAGGCTCACGGCCCCTGACTGGCCCGTCTCACCAAGACAGTCCCAAGCCGTGGCTTCCAGACCGGGCTGGAACGGAGAATGGGTGGGGGGCACAGGCAGGTGTGGCCTTGTGCGGCTGGAGTACAATGGAGAGTGGCTGCAGGCCGTCATCGCTCGGGACGATGCACGGCGCCCTCTAGAGAGCTGGAGGTCAGAGCCAGAGGCGGGAGCCAGCAGAGGGAAGGTCCAGGCCCACTTCGGACAGAGACGCGGATGAAAGCCTTTTTCACGGTGGAAAGAGACCTCATCTGGACTCTGTATCCCTTCTCACACAATGTACGGTGTTTACCAAGTTATTCACAGACCGCACACTGCGGGACAGACCACCCTTTCAGACCAATAATGGGGGCGATGCTATGTGTTCTGGTCACAGCCCCCCCCCCCCATTTGTAAGCAAGGTGCCGCCATTTGGGGAGGAAGGAGACAGAGGAGCGTCAGGTCGAAGTCTTGGTAAGGGGGAGTGGAGTTTGCCGAGAGAAGGTGGCAAGAGATGGACAGTTTTCCGCGCCTAGGCAATGCTGGGAGGTCACGTGGCTTGTCAGGCTCAGGGGGTGGGGGGCACTTTGTTTATTTAGCAATGGGCCAGATTTCACCATCCTGTCTGACAGGATGGACTTCAAAAGCACACATGGCACACATCTGTCTAATCAGAACAAGCAGTTAATGTTTAAGAAATGTGACCTTCAGGTCCATGAAGTCCACCAGGAGCAACTCTGGTGACAGTGACTCAGGGGTGGACTGCTCACCACCTGCTCATTTCACCATTAAGCTTGCCGTATAAAACGGGCTCCAGAATCCACTAGAAGGTTCAGGCACCAGCATGATCTTTACGGTGCTTCTGGACTCAGAGTGACCTCCCAGCACAGCCAGCAGGACAGCATACTTCAGGATGTTGTGGGCCTGTACCTGCTCGTCCCACGGTGAGAATGGCTTCTTCCACCGGCTCTGCAACACAAGAGTGCGAGTTTAGCCAAGGGAGCTGCGTCAAGTGGCAAAAGCCTGCCGGGCAGCATGTGGTCACATGCGCCCTCTAGGGGCACTCAACACACAATCTAGAAGTGAGGCAGCAGGGAATTAATAGAGAACGGCTTTGCCGTTTCGCATTCAGATCTGCCGTATGGTATATTACCACGTCCCGAAACAGGCTCTACCCCATGAAGATTTATCTGAAGGGTCATGCTTCCCCAGATCACAGAAATCTGACTGGACAGAGAAGGAACCGGATGTGGACACACTGCAGTGTGAAACCCAGTCTCTATGATCCTTTATTCAGACCCTTAATCAACTATACAGGGGGCAGTGTGGTGTGATTGGCTGGACTGATCTCCCGCCTATGATCTTAAGCCATTTATCTCGTTAAACGTCTTGGAAGTGCTTGGTATGACATGTGCCATTTTAGACTGTTTTAATTGTGCAAGTATGAAAAATATAACAATGAATAATTAAAGCACAATTAAAATTTTAAGGCTGATTTACACTTCTGTGTTGAGGCTACACAGAGCTGATGCCATAGCCTGTGCAAGTGGCCAACGAACAGATACTAGTGCGCTGGTGTGTCTTTGTTGCTCTGCAATTACGCCGCCAAAACATTAGTTGGTTGAGCACAGGGGCTTTATCACTATGTCATAGGAAACAAAACTTAGAAAGCTTTGCAATTTTAATGACTCATTTTTTGCTTTATAAATCACAGTATTTAAATCACCAAAAAAAATTAAAAATTAAATCAGAGCGCGATATATGAAATTTTCCAATATAGTGCAGCCGTAGCATGAACAGCTGCAACCATGGTTACAACAGCCAGCCAACAACAAGCTAAACACAACCAGTCCCACACCAAACCCTCCCCAGTTGAAAACAACAACAGCGCTTTTGCACAAGCGGAAGTTCAGTGCTCCAAAGCACACTAGTCACAGTTGTTGCAGTCGCCGCGATGCACAGCCACATTTCTGGGGAGATGTCGGTTACCCCGCAGCACAGGCTACAGTGTAGCTATGCAGTACCTGCGGCCTCAATTCTACTCAGAAGTACAAATCAGTCTTTGGTGGGCAGGGTTAGACTTAAATGAGCACAATTGAGCCCGGGTCTGATATGGACAGCAAAAGAGGAGAGACACCCGAATGCGCGGCAGAGCACCTGGAGGACTGCAGCACAGGCAGGACGGCAAACCAGGTGCCTGTGCCTGTATCTGTACTCCCTTTTGGCATGACAGTGCCTTCCACAGTTTTATCTGTAACAGAGGCAAGAAATAAGTTGTACAGGAAGCCCTGGGGGCCGACTGGTGGGACTGTCCAGTAAAGAGTCACCGTGACCCCCATGTGGCCCCCACGTGACCGACCGCATGCCCCTCCATGTGACCTTACTTACAAACATCTGCTGAACACTTGCGCTCACCACTGACAAGAAATGACCCCCTGCCACCAAACACTGACATATCAAATTAAACAGACCATTTGAGTCATTTTTACCATAATAAAACTATGACAGGATTTGTAGTAGGGCAGCTCACTAAGGTCAGTGGAACATCAAGGCGGACGTGTGTCCCTGTGCCACAGCTGGCGAGACCTGAATGTCAGAGAAAACCCAGACAGGAGGAACAGGGAGCACGCGGTGACCAGACAGGTGGAGCAGGGAGCACGCGGTGACCAGACAGGTGGAGCAGGGAGCACGCGGTGACCAGACAGGAGGAGCAGGGAGCACGCGGTGACCAGACAGGCGGAGCAGGGAGCACGCGGTGACCAGACAGGAGGAGCAGGGAGCACGCGGTG